GCGGCGGGGCCTGGGGGTTTTACCTCGGGAGGCACGGCGGGTTCCCACAGCATCCTGCGTCTCCACTGCCCCGATATCCCCTGCTCTCTGTGTCCCCCCTACCCCACGCTGCCCTTGCCCCACACACAAGCCCTCACCAGACACCCCCCAGCGTTGCGACCCCCGCAGCGTTGCCACCCCCCCCACGACCCTGTTGTCTCTGTGTCTCCCTGTGTGACTGCCCCACGTGTGATATGCTCAAATGCGGATGGGAGTGCCGGGAGAGCTGCATGCACACATGTGCACATCGTGTGTTGAGGGCACATGTATGTGTGTGCAACATGGCGTACAGGGCACGTTGGCCCATGTGTCATCTGCTGTGCTGGGACCTGGGTGTGCCCTGTGTGGGACATGTGTGTGCAGGGGTGGGGACCTTGCTATCTCCCTTTGGCACTGGGGCTATGTAGAGCCACTGCCATGCACAGCTTAGAGGTGCCAGCATACAGGTGCACACGCATGTGCCCCACGTGCATGCACATGCTTCTGCTTTAGCGTGTGGGTGCAGGGACGCGTGTGGGGAGATGTGTGCACATGCAGCCCTGTCTCTGTGTGCAGCGGGCGCGTGTGGCAGAGGCATGTGCTGCTGCAGAGGGTTTGTGTCCGTGTGTCCCCCCTCATCTGTGTGTGTTTGTGTCAGTGTGTCCCTGTGTGTGTCTGTGTGTGTGTGTCTTGTGTTGCTGGCAAATCCCATTTTCTCAATCCGATTTGGTGATTTTCGGCTTTTCCTCTTGAGCTTTTTCTCACTGGCCAATTTTGGGACTGTCCCTGCCCCGCAAGCAGAGAGACACGCCCTCGCTTGTGCCAGCCCCTGCATTTAAGGTACAGGCTGCCCCCCTACAAAGGACCCAGGCATCTGGCCCCTCCACCTCAAATCAGCCCCTGGACCCCACAGCCGTGGCTGGTGGCCCCGGGTGTCCTATCTCCCAGCCACAAAGGCCCATTGTCCCCCGCTATTGTGTGTGGGGGAGGTGCAGGGGCTCTGCTGTACAATGGGGGATTATCCCCCGGAGGGAGAGGCGTGCTCGTTCTTGGGTCCTCTCCTGCTTTTTGGGGCAGCTGCAGGGTCCTGTCCTGCCCTGTCTGTGGGGACCTGGATGTCCTGCACAGGTGTTTCCCCCCTCCTGCTGTTCCTCTCCCCATTGCCCCACAGCTTTGTCCCGACTTCACCTTAGGGGTGACTCCATGTCCCCTGCCTGGGTCCTGTGCCCGTCTCCCTGTCTTTCTGCTGTCCCCGTGACACCCGTGTCCCTGTCCATCTGCTGTCCCCGTGATGGAGACACCCTGGTGACACCCATCCATCCCCTCAGCAGATTCTGAGCACGGTGGAGGCCCAGGCTTCCAGCACCCCAGGCCCGTCGGGCTGCGGCCCTGTCCCCGTGGCTGTGTCGGTGGTGGCGGTGCCGGGGCCAGGGGTGGCCGCGGTGCTGCCCAATGGGGCCCCCCCAGGCCCCGCTGCAGCTGATGACAGCAAAACCAACCTGATTGTCAACTACCTGCCCCAGAGCATGAGCCAGGAGGAGCTGAGGAGCCTCTTTGGCAGCCTCGGGGACATCGAGTCCTGCAAGCTCGTCCGTGACAAGGTCACTGGTATGGGACAGGAGAGATGGGACATGGGATGTGGGGAGATGGGACACGGGATACAAGGAGACAGAATACAGCAAATGGGGTGCAGAGACACAGGCAGATAGGACATGGGACATGGCATATGGGGAGACTGGATATGAGAAACATGGAGATGGACATGGGGGCCTGTGAGGCTGGGACAGGGATGGGCGTGTAGTTGGGACTACGAGGACAGGGGCAACTTCAGGACTGTCTGGGGTTGTCAGCCCTTGACCACAGGATCCTTGGGACAGGAATGTGGGGCTGGGGTCCCACAGGGACAGAGATCAAGATGGGATGGAAACAGGTCTTAGGGACAGGGGTGTGGATGGGAACCGGGGAGGGGACAACTGGCTCTGTTGCTGACCCTGTGCCTCAGGGCAGAGCCTTGGCTATGGCTTCGTCAACTACGTTGAGGCAGGTGATGCCGACAAGGCCATCAGCACACTCAATGGACTCAAGCTGCAGACCAAGACCATCAAGGTGCCATACTCTGGGGTCCCTGGGGGTGGTGGGCATCAAGGGGTTCCCTGGGGTGGGGGGAGGGTGGGTCCCTCAGAGCATGTGGACAGGGGTGCCTGGCGAGGGGGGATGGGCGCACGGATGTGCAGGGAGTTGGATACCAGAGGGTTTCTACAAGGGCTTGAGGGTTAGGGTGCTTGTGTCTCATGCAGGAGTAGACACCACGGGGTCCCTCAAGGGGGCAGATGCTAGAGGCATCCTTGGGAGGGTGAGGGAAGATGCCTGGGCACCTGGGGGAACACATCACTATGGGTGGGAGACAGCTCTGGCACCCAGACGTCTCAGTCCCCAGGACTCATCCACCCTCCCCTCCTCCAAGGTGTCCTATGCTCGGCCCAGCTCAGCCTCCATCCGTGATGCCAACCTCTATGTGAGTGGCCTCCCCAAGGCGATGGGGCAGAAGGAGATGGAGCAGCTCTTTTCCCAGTACGGCCGCATCATCACCTCCCGCATCCTTGTTGATCAGGTCACAGGTGAGCCCAGACGCCTCTGTCCACAGGGGAAGCGGGGAGTGCTGCCTGGATGCCTGTGTTCCCAGGAGGGTCCATGGAGTAGGAGAGTGTCACTGTGGGTGCCTAGGTCCTGTTGGTGGGCAGCAGTGTCTAGCAGGGGAAAATCCTTGAATACCTGGACCCTGTGGGTGCATTTGTGGGGGGGATTCCCTGGACACTTGGGTCTTGTGTCCGTGCAGTGGCCTTTAGGGCTCTGTACCCCCCCAACACCTTGCAGGTGTCTCGCGGGGAGTGGGCTTCATCCGCTTTGACAAACGTGTGGAGGCAGAGGAGGCCGTCCGGGGGCTGCACGGGCAGAAACCGCTGGGTGCCGCCGAGCCCATCACAGTCAAGTTTGCCAACAGCCCAGGGCAGAAGGCGGGGGGGGCCCTGCTCAGCCTCTGCCCCAGCGCCCGCCGCTACGGGGTCCTGCACCACCCCCCGCAGCGCTTCCGGTGAGCTCAATGTGCCTGGGGCCGCAGGGTCATGGGACATTGCTGGGAATGAGGGAGGGCACCCCCCAGGAGACGGGGCCACTACAGGGTATGGGGACATCCCCAGCACCATGAGGACACTCCTCAGGGGATGGGGTCACCACAGGGTGTGTGACACCCACATGGCAAAGAAACCCCCGTATATGAGAATCTTCCTCCCCCTTGTGTGCCCCCTAATGGCCTCTTGTCCCCTCTAGGCTTGACAATTTGCTGAATGTGGCCTACGGCGTGAAGAGGTAACGGCCCCTCCCCCCCATGTGTCCTGGGGGAAGGGGAGACCTGGTGTCTGGGCGCCCTGACCCCAGGCCAGCCCGCTGTCACTGCTGCCCAGGTTCTCCCCCCTTGCCATCGAGGCAGTGCCGGGGCTGGCCGGGGTGGGCCTGGGGGCTCCTGGCACTGGCTGGTGCATCTTCGTCTCCTGGCACCTGAGGCGGATGAGAGCGTCCTCTGGCAGCTTTTCGGGCCCTTTGGTGCTGTCACCAACGTCAAGGTCATCCGTGACTTCGCCACCAACAAGTGCAAGGGCTTTGGCTTCGTCACCATGACCAACTACGAGGAGGCCGCCATGGCCATCGCCAGCCTCAATGGCTACCGCTTGGGTGAGCGTGTGCTCCAGGTCTCCTTCAAGACCAGCAAACAGCACAAGGCTTGAGCCCCACCCTGCTGGCCCTCTGGCCACCGGGACTGGGTTCCCTGGCATTATCAGGCCACAGGGATCCCCGTGAGCACCAATGACCCCCTGGAGACCTCCCCTCGACATCTGGAGAACTTGGAGACGCCTTCCATGGGCACCATGGACACTGTAGGGATCTCCACACCCTGGAGGCCACGGAGATTTCCCCTGGGCACTTGGCAACCTTAGGTCTCCCCTCTGTGGCACCAAGAACACCATGGGGACACTTAAAGGACAGCCTGGATACCATGGACACCCCTACCTCTCCCTGAGGCACCGTGGACACCCTGAGGACTCCCTCAGGTGCTCCAGAGCTCTTGGACATAGTGGGGGCATGGTGATGCAGGGGCACCCCTGAAGATCCTCCTATCTCAGCACCCTGGAAAGATGGGAGAACACCCAGGATACTGAGGACATGCTGTGGGCCCCCAAGGCACCCCAAAACCCCTGGGAATCGTGAAGGAGTCAGGATATGGAGGAAGGTAACCTCCAAGGCCCTCAGGAATGCGATGGGCACCTCAAAGACTCTGGGGGACCCTCTCGGGCACTGTGGAGACCAGGCAGTGAGGCCCTCTGCCCCTCCCTCAGCACTCTGCGTGAACCCTGGTGAGCCCAGGTACCTTGGGGATCCCCAGCACCCTCAGCACCCCCCCCGGGCAGGTGCCAGACAACACCCCCTCCTTTGGGTGGGGATACTGGGAAAGGTGGGACCCAGCCCCCCCACCGTCCCCGCCCCACCCTCCAGGGGTGTCCTGCCCCCCATG